CCCTCCCCCCCCCCCCTCGCAAAATTCATATCACGAGGGTCGGTCGGTGCACGCTCTATAAGCCACGCGTTCTCACCTGAATCGCGAGAGAAGAGGTGAGAATACACAACCGACTTTGCCGCTCGTGATGAAACCGATTGTAAGAAACCGTATATACGCTCGGGCCGTTCGTGTTCAAAGCTCCGGGGCCCAGCATCCCGGCGCGAGGGGCACAAGTGTACGTCGTCGTGTAATGCCTCATAGAAAGGCAAGAGAGAGCAAAGAGCCCTCGAGATGTTCGCGACACGCACACATAGACGCGTGAGACCCATGCATACGCACGTGCGCCATGCGAGGAGAGTAAGAGAGAGAGAGGGAGAGAGAGACGAAGGAGCTGCAGACAAGAAGGGGGAAAAGGAAGGAGGCTGGCTGGTGAACGTGTGTGACGCGGCAACGCGATGCGGGAGTTGAAGAAAGAGAGGACTCTCGGCGAGGATGCGAGGGTTCGGCGCGGGACGAACGTAAGGGGATCTTCCGTGCTCCCGGAGGTGGAATGACTGCGGTGGGGGATAGCACAGAATCGGTGGGAGAGGGAAGGGTGGACAAGCCGCGGTACTCGAGGGAGGGGGGAGGCCCGCAGGCCGGCCCGCGGCTTCGGACTCAGTATCCCCGGAGCGACCGAGTCGTGTATCCCATGAAGTTTGCTGCGTCCCGTGCTCCAGCGTGCGCGCACAATACAGTAATAGAAGGGCGCGCGCGCACACACACACACGCATATATATACGTACTGTTATACGCGCGTATTTACACATATACACACATAGTCGCAACATTACGTTCTCGCCGTTCGCCAGACACGTGCATACATACACCTGTTCGTCGCGGCGGCACAAGCGCAGCGAAACCCAGACGTCGACTGTCTTGCGGGGCACCACGCGTGTTCGCGCGAACAGTGTCACTCGTCCTCGTCCCACACGGATTCCCGAAGAAACCGCTTCCTCCGAAGAGGAATTCAGGATGATTATTCGCGTGTGAGTGAATCGGTGCGCGCGACGAATTTTCGCGATAAACAAAGTTCAATCTTCGAAGTGCTCGATTCCGTGAAGTTATCTTCGCGTCTCCCCGTTACTCGCGCATCGAGGATTTTTACACGTACAAGTGAAATTATCCGAGCTTCACGTATCGTCTTTCACGTATTACGACATGTCTAAGGATTAAAGGGACAACCGGCGAGAAAGCAGGGTCGGATCTGTAATCGTAAACTGCGTGTCCGAGAAGAAAGAGAGAGTATACGCGACGCTATTAACGCTTCTCGGATCGATTTCTATGAACACGTCGGATCGGCCGTACGTGAAACACGTGCTGTGGACGTCGTGGCTCGTGCCTCGAGTCGAGAAGAGCAGGTGCCGGGTATCACGCGTCCAACTTTCGCGCGCGCCGTCGCTTTCTCCTCGCCGACGAATTCGGAGCCGTCGGCGAGTCCGATCTTCTCCGAATAAACCGTGAACGCGTTTCGTGGAACGAAGATAGGCGCCGATTAGTTTCGCGCCAGAACTCGGACACTCGGAGCGCGCGTGTGAATCGAAGAAAAATACGCGAGAGAAGACGAACGAGAAAAAGAGGATCGGGCGAAAGGTACCTTTCGCGTCGCGAAGGTGAAGGAGCCTAACCTCGTCCTCGTCGAGCGTCGCTTCTGCTGACGAGGATCCACTCGCTCTCGGTTTCTCCTCGAGGACTCGGGGATCCGCGCCAGCGAATTCTCCGGTTACAAAGTGTCGACGAGTGTTCAGTGTTCAGAGCGACAGAGAAAAATAATCGTCCCTCCACGCGGAGGACACTGGCCAGTGGATATTCGGTGTTGGTGCGCGGACCGGAAGGATCTGCGGTGTGCAGTGTGCCGATAATAGCGATCGATAATATTCGGTGAGAGTGGTGAGAGAAAGAGAACGAGGGATACGCGCTAACGACAGCAAGAGGACAGCGGAGGGCATCTCGAGAGAGAGAGAGGAGCAGCGCGGGGATATCGGTGATATGCGGTAGTCGAGGGGATTCCCCAGGGAGAGACATGAGGGCGGCCGCCGCCTACGTCCTGTTCCTTGCCCACCTCATACAGGTATGCACCCGCGACCCATGTCGCTTCTTTCTCCCCGATTCGCTGAGTACTCTTTTGCGTATTTTCTTTGAAAAGATTCGTTTAAAATATCAAGTGATAACAGCATCTTTTAAAATGTAAATACGAACGAATCAATCTCTTGGAATAGATAAGTAGAACGATATGAATCATCTGTAGAATAGAATGAGAAAATATAAATAGTATTTTCTGAATAAAATTTAAAATCGTGATGTAATTAAATTTATTCATTGCGTATTCGACGCGAATCTGCAAAATAGATCTATAGAAAATTATACGAATTTATAAGCCGGTCTTATCATAATGAGTGTAAAGGGATAAAGAGAGCTATAGAACGTACTTTTAAAGTGATTTTATATTAATATATATATATATATATATATATTAAAATAACTGAAACATCTTCAATATCGTTACATGCAGCTGAGTAAAAATTAATAATGTAAATTCCGCATTTATCGCAATATCTTTTAACGCAGACATTTAAGTCGGTATTTAAGAGCCGTGGAAAGCACAGCATGCGAGAAGATCGTTAGTGCTATATGTACTGATAATCAGCGCGAACGCGCACTTTTTACTGCTCGCGAACGGCGGTTTTCGCGGTCGTTAAGACAAGATTACATTGCGTTAACGTTGTGTACAATATTCTCTTTCTCTCTCGATCGATCGATCGATCGTTCGCGATAGAGTTTCAACTTTTGAACAACAAGCCGAGTGAAAAATGTCCCGTTTTCTTTTGCTTCGCGCTCGACAACGAGCGAGATCGGGGGGAAAAAGTCAATGCGGCGGTACAAGTGGTATTCGAACAGGTGATGCAAGCACTCAGCGCAGCGTGCATACATATACCCCGGGGCCACATGTACCATTCGTAAAAATAAACAGTTGCGACAGGCGCGGCCATTACGATGTACTTGTGTGCGATTGAAGCTTCTCTTATTACGCGTTTACCAACTAGATATTTCTCGCTCATGGGTAATATAAACGTGTAGCTTGAATCAATATAAGCTTCCCTTTTATTGCATTTGCATGAGTTGTACCGAAAATAGTAAAAAGTAATTTTACTGTGAATCTAACATTACAACCATATATTTACGTGTGATGCGCCTTATTTATTACATTTAATAGTTTGCTTAGGATAAAGTTGTATTTGTCTCGCTATATTTCGTACCGTATATATCCGTCAAACATATGCAAGACGTGCAGAATAATTACAGCGTCTGCCAAAACAAATGTCACAGTCAATGTGACTCTGGTATATTAGTATAATTTTATATATCTTATCGTTAACTTTATTGGACATAATAATATAATAGGAAGCATCTGTGCTCAATCTCTACGAATATCATTTCGTTACCGCTATGATTTAAACAAAATTCTCTGATACGTCGCGATCGTGTGTCGGAAGTTAATTTGCAAGAGAATATATAATGTGTGTGTATGTGAGATTTCCATACTGGCCTCGATCATTATAGATCACTGCGATCTCAGTGTGCAGCGTTGGCTCCTTTCGAATGCTCACAGTTTATACCGCTTGTTGCATCATCGTACAAGGTGCTATCGTGCGTAATGCAGCATCTGCGACGCGAAGCCGTTCTCACGTACGTGTTTTCATCTCACAGTCTTCCGCCTTGTTGAACGATCAGTGATACAAAGCTGTTTTTACGCAGACATAAAACGAATGAATCTTATTAATATTATTATCACATTTATTTTTCTATCTCTCTATTTAAATTCAACAAATTTACGAGCGATAGATAATATTGCAGACGTCGATGATTAACATATTTGAAAAATGTGTCTGTTTTATTTTAGAGAAATACTTTAAATCATAGTTTTGCTAAAAAAATGATTGATCTATTTATCTTCGTGATATATAAATAAATAATAAAATATTTCATAAATCTATTAATTAAATCTATAATATTTAATAATCTATAATTCCTTACATTTTTCTCAAAGTTTTTATATTCTTTATTTTTTATATGTACCGGCAAAAAAACTGTATTTTTTTCATAATATATTTGACTTGAGAGAAAGAAAAATACGCGATTTAATTATCACTGATATCTAAATTATTCGCCGATATATTAGCATATCATTTGAATATAAATTATATAGGTATCTAGGTTAAATAATTAAAACGATTATTGGCCAAAATTGCGCACTGGCCTCAATGTTGATACGTAAAAAGCGATTATATATTAATTACATACATTAAAACAAATTAGTGGCAAATTGCTGTAAAGTGGAGTGATTAGATAAATAGACGCAAGAGAAGCAATGATTCATTCGATTTCGAGCAAGTAATTTATTAAATTATCTGTGCCCTTAGATATTGACGCGATAAAAAGCTCTCTTGTTACTTTCTTGTACGACGTTTGCTCTCTAAACGAAATTAGCCTTGTTCTTTGTAGAAATAGCACTTTGTAAAAGTGGCATTTGGTTTACATGTCAAACTATAGATTAATATACTTGAAAATTTACTTTTTAACATCAAACAACTGTAAATAAATTGTCCATCAAATTGTCACCGGAGAAGAACAGCTTTTAATTCTTCGAAGAATTAATATAATTAAGAAAGAGAAAGAGAAATTATATTATGATATATTTTAGATACAAAAATTAATCAGAAATGCGATTAAGTTTTATATAATAGCAAAAAATGCAATCCATGATCGAAATACACTTTTAATTAATCAACATTATACGGCGACACTTCATATTGTCCTCGTAATCATTTCGTTTTTGTGTACCACTATATGTAACATGTCGCCGGAGGACTGCTTATGTCTTATAACACGATTCTCCGCGAATTGCACAAGGATATGAGAGCGCGGCGCTACATCCTTCTCCTTGTTCTCAGCCAGAGGAGATACATACTTACGCCATAAATATGACTTCTTTGCGGATGTTGTTCTGTCACTTGCTTTATAATTTTCTTACTGTGTCCCTCTCCTATTACTTTCTCGGCTAGCTTTGTCCAGAAATGACAATACATATCACGCAATCTTCGTTATTGCAGCAAATTCATATTTTTCTGACGTCGTCGAATAAATATTCTGTGACAACTGTTCTTTTTAGCATTCTACCAATTTTATGAACCTTTTAAAATTAATTTTATATTTAACATTCAATTTCAGCTTATATGAAATATGCAATTTGTATTCTGTCTACGGATTTTGCTTGTCACACGTCACCATTACATTGCATCGGGAATGTATGTTAATGTTGCAATTATGTAGTATGTTAATGTCAAACTCTATGCGGGTATTCCTTTTTGCATAAATTATAATATGATTCATTGTACTGGAAGAGCCTCTGTCTACGTGTCACACGTCACCATTACATTGCATCGGGAATGTATGTTAATGTTGCAATTATGTAGTATGTTAATGTCAAACTCTATGAACTCTATGCTTTTTGCATAAATTATAATATGATTCATTGTACTGGAAGAGC